TAATGAACGTAAAAAGGCTGAAATATTGCTATGTTCCTTCAGAACGTACCATAGCATTTTCGACAACAGACCAATTAACCAAATGTTTACAAGAAAAAAAACATATATATTAAAAACCAACACGATTCTATAGCACCTTAAAACTTGCACATTATTGCCCTGGAATACTAAACAAAAAAAATCTAAAAAATCTGAATAAAAAGTTGAAAAATTTTGTAGATTTTTTATATTTTTTGCACAAACTTTGAAATGTGGATTTATATTTTGTTTGTTATATAATGAGCTAGGCTTTTATGGAAAAATAATAAACATTAAATATAGATGTATACAATAAAAGTTTAATAAGAACAATTATTTGTGCATACATTTGAAAAAGACGTTTTTGGGGAGGAAATGACGTTTTCTCATGCCGAAGACCTGACAACACTGCTTGTACCTGGTATGTGTGTATGTATTGTCACCGCTGCGCATGCTTTGTATACATATACTTTCTTAATTACATATGAAAAAGCATCCGAGACGTGCGAGTGAAAAATGCTTCATTTTAATACCGGCGTATTTGAATTGAATATTTCCATTATACATACACTACTTTTGAACACATTTCACTTGATTTAAATACGAACATTTTTAAACGGTAATCAAATAAAAAAATTTAGCTTTTACTACGCGTTCTTTTCCTCAGTGTACTTTAATGTTGATAAAATTATTTGTGATGATATTCGGGATCATAACAATTACCTATTGAATTTTTAAACTTTTTAACTGTAAGCGGACAGTTTCCAATCATTTCCACTTTTTGTATGACTATAATTAAATTTCAGGAGCAAATATTTCAAAAGGTTGGTTTATTATTAAGACCACCTGCATTTTCTTATGCAAAATGATATGTTGCTGCCAGCAGAGTTCGTTCCTTTTACGGATTGCGGTTCCAAATTTCAGATACTTCAGATCAAGGTCATTTGTCTGCCGACCAAAGGGTTTTTACAAAACCACAGTTTATATTGTTGCCCACTAATAAAATATTGAAAATAAAACAAAAAGATATAAAAAATTTTAGTCACGTTTTACTTAGATCCAAAGCAGAAGATTTTCCGCTAAGATATTTGTACCTTATAAGTTAGACGATGTGCTATGTCTGAAAGCATCTCCAGGGCTCTTAAAAAACTATAAAAAAAGTCGAATTTCGCCAGGTACTGGCACTCCTAGTGTACTTTGAATTTACTAAATAGCAATATAGAAGTATTACATATATCATAGCATACAAAAATAACAACACTTCAAGTCATCTTTAATAGCTAAAAACTAGTGTTGCGAAGTATCGAGTACTTTTAAGGATCGGGTATTTTTGAGAGTACTCAGTATCGATACTTTTAAAAATCGAGTGTGCTCGATCCTTTTGAGAACCGAGTTCGGAGTACTTTTGGTATCGATACTGCCCAACACTACTAAAAACGCATAATCAAAACCTCTGCTCAACGGCCAGCCCTCCGGATCTCGATTTATATATTAACAAGCTAAACTAGTGGGGTTTTTAATTATGCGTTCTCCGCCTAAGATATTTATGTGTGCTTATTTAATTGTTTATTTGGAACAAATATTTAGTTATACATTTTAAGCTATTGGCTGTCCTCAATTAAAAATAACTAATTTCCATCCTAGTGAAAAATTGCTATAAATGCAAATTCTGACCATAAAAGCGCTGATGTGCATAGTTTTTATATACATACATACATATATATACATATATGTACATACATATACATATGTACTCGTATATTAATGTTTATATGCACGTATGTATGTATGGTGGCATGGACACAACAGTTGCATCAAACTTTGATCTGTGAAAATTTTGTTAAAAAATAGTTACCACGCTTCCAAGAGAGACAAACAACCGGCTGTAGCATTGAAAAAGGAGCAAGGTCATATTTATTAAGAGGTTTGTTGCTGGTTGAACTGAACTGCTGTTGACATTTGTGTGTTTTTCCCATTCAAGTGGGGGCACAAGGAAACCAACTACATACATATGTATGTATGTATGTATGGCAGTGTGGACTTTATAAAAAGAGGTACATATACACATATGCATATTTGCTTCCCTACAAGACAGCTGAGTATCATATGAGTACTCATATTATCATTATCCCTAATCACAAAAGTGCTTATCAAAGTCCTCATTTTCGTTCAGGCCATGGGAAAAAATTGAGTACTTTCCCCTCAATGTTGTCATCAGAAAGTCCTCAGTACTAATAGTCAAACTACTCATTTATGCCGTATTACAAAAACAAAAGTGTAAATGTGTGAGAATTTTTGCCTAAAGTGCTCAGCAATGTCTTGTAGGGCATTCTTGTGCATATTTGAGTATCCATGTATTTACATATGTATATGAGTACGTGAGCACATCTGTACATACGAGAATAGATGTAGAAGAATCGACTTGTCGGCGGGAGAGATGATTAATTTTTACAAACACTTTAGTTGCCTTAGAAGGACATTGGATAAAAAATATTCACGTGTACAAACACATATGTATGTACATATGTGTGTATGAGTATGTGTACCCTGCAAAATTTTTAGGACCAGGTGGTCTACTGGGACGTAGTTTTAAAGTATGTGCAAAACGACCAGATTGCGTACTAGTAACTTGTTATGCTGACCTGGACCACTTCAAACGTAAAAAACTGATATAAATATGCAGAAGAAAATGCCTTTTAAATAATAGATTTTGCTATTTAAATTTAAAAATCACCTTTAAAAATGATCAACTATTCGGTTTAAACAAAATCTTATGAAATTCAATCCATGGTCCAAAAGGACTAGTAGTCTAGGTGATCCCATGTTATGCAGTGTTGGACCAGAGGTGATCAGGTCCAATGACATCGCAATGTTAATGTAACCATATCTTCTATGTAAATATTAATTATGATGACATTGTAACAAAGGGATTCAAAATTAACTTATGTGTGGACCTTATTAGTACAATTTATAATATCCTTAGAAAGCTACATTACTCGTACATATGTATAATTCTTAGCTATTACCACTGCTTTTGTGAAGCGATGAAAAATGTTTTCACTTCACGTTTTCATAGAACAAAAACTGGCCCCCAGGCTTAGTGCATTATCACACATTGTGAATAAGCAGAATCTTAATCTTCGTGGTGTTTTTTGGGACTTTCGATAAAATTTGTTTGATTTTTCTAAAGATATTTGCGAGTTTTTAATTTTTTTTTTGAGTTTTATTTTTTGATAAAGTTTTTGACGAACATCCCAGCCATAAGGGAATTCAGAATTGCAATGGATGGCGAACATTCCATGTAAAACTTTTAAGGGCCCTATTCACAATGCAGTTGAGAGAAATACATTTAGCGGATTCTTTTGTCAGTGTACATAGTTAACCATTGACAGGGTTGAACTTTCAATTTTCATATTCACAGTAGGTACTCAGTTAACAAAAGTTTAAACGTGAACTATACTTAAATTCTTGTTGAATTAAATTTTTTTTGTAAGCGACAGTAACAATTATACTCGTATACCCAATTATAGACACAATTATATGAATTTTCAATTTTCTGGTTAGTGATTAAGTTAAAAATAGTTTTAGTCCTAGTTCGGCCCGAAACAAACGAAATCTTAAAACACTTTGCATAGCCGCTTTGGGCCCTTTAAAAAGGAGAGTATAAGCCAAATAGCAAATGCATCCTAAAATATTAGCAAATCTATTTTTTTTTGTGAATTTACTTACCTGGTTGCCAAATACACCTACACTACAAGCCGAAGACACCTGGTGAGGTCCAAACCAAACTGCAGCGATTCGCGCCGGCAAGGATAAAATACAGACCTGTGACAGAACAAAGAAGAGTAAACATAAAAAAAAAATTGCATGTACGCATATTAAACATTTTTTATTTACCGAATGATTATGAGCCTTATTATCTATCTCGAACGATAGCCCGCACGAACGATTCGTCAGCAAAAGAAACTTAAAAAAAAAAAAAAATAGCCTGGTATCATCATTCTAGCTGGTTTGAACGTAACCAAGATGATTACGATGTAATCGACGTAAATCAAGACGATGACGAATGATAAAGTTATAAAATTGCCAGCAGACTCGATATCGTTTGCAGACGACTCGTTCATGCGGCCTATGGTTCGAGATAGATAGTAAGATTGTAAAAATAACTGGATACAAATTTAAATTTTTTAGTTGAGAACTTCCTTAATAAGCGGTTAGATCAGCCGCTAGTATAAGAAATTGAACTTAGTCAAAGCAAAACTCGAATTTCGCTCGGCGTCGTTTTGTCACTAAAGATTTATTTCATGACTGGGCGGTGGCGACAGTAAATGCCAAGGTGTGTCGTCCTTTTTAGTGTTTTCAAAGTTTTAGGATGAAAAGAAAATATAACATTTAAAAAGGGATAATTATTGTTTCGTTAAGCCTGGGTTAGGATAAAATAACGTAATGTACAAGTACTTATCTTTTTTTAATAATAATAATATGGGTTCTTTAAAATATGGTCACTCAAATTATAAATGCGCTGTGATTGTGTTAAAATAGCCGAAATAATACGACGATCGGATCGTACTTCTTCGAATATTATACCGATAGCGCTGTAACGGTGAGCCAACTTTTTATGCTCTGAATTGGATAACATGGTTTTGGATAATATTTAGTTTTAACAGGACGGTGCTACTTGCCACATAGCGCATGGAATAATGGACTTATTGCGAACGAAGTTCCAAGGACGCATTATCTTACGATACAACAAGGTCAAAAGGCCGCGGAGATCTTGCGATTTGACACCATTGGGCTTCTTGCTTTCGAGCTACTTGAAAAGTATGGCTATGACAATAAACCTGAGACGATTCCAGAGCTGGAAAACGAAATAACACATGCTATAAATGTTATACTGCATTTACCGGGATTATTTTTTTTTTTGAGATAATCTTTTTAAAGAAACAAGTATACTTGGAGATTGGCCATGGCTGCTAAGGGGTGACTGCTGTTGGAAAATCTTTTTCTATCATCTTTGGATGGTAAATAAGTTAAGCTGCTGTTTAGTTTAGAAAACTGTGGTAAAATACGTTTGGAAAATATTGATTAATAAATGGGCTTACTTCAATCTCTATGGGTACCCACTATCAAACACATTTCTTTTATTTTTTATGTGTGAAAAAATTTTTTTTTGGCTTTTTTATCGTTTGGCTAGGACGAAAATTTTATATGAAGTCAACATTCTCCGGAAAAAAACTTGTTTCTTTTGTATGGGTATCGACCCCTTCCATAGCACATACATATATACATATGTATCTATATTTATAGCACTTTGCCATCACTTAATAATGGCTGCAGTTCGCTGAAAACCATAAGCTAGATTATTTATTACCCTTGCGCTCAAAACTACATCGCGATTTGTTGCTTGCTAAAGTGCCTAATGATGAGGAGGCTTAAAATAGGTAGCACCAGCACATATACATATATACGTACATATAAATACATGTGTGGGCATATATATGGACACATATATAAGTATGTATGTACATATGTATGTATACCCAGTCAGAATAGGAATCTAGAATGCATCAATTTACTTACGGCAATGCATTAGGAAAATTATGTGTTCCTTTAAACCGGCGATGGGCACTGCCTTGCCCGCGGGCAAAGCTCTCTTAACCTTTCTATATATTTTGTATAGGCGCGTTCGGAGTATAAGCTCTCTCTGCCCATCGCTGCTTTAACACACACCAAATTAATGCAGATAAAGCTTTAAAATAACTGTAAATGGTATCACAAATATGGCTCTTTCTTGCGTTTGCGTTGTATTTATGATATGTTCGCTATTCTATAGGTACATTGTATGAGTGCTGAGTCATACATGAACAAATTTCCTATTGGGCATTTATATATATATATATATGTATGTGTGTATGTATGTTCACATTAGCCCAACGTCTGTGCTCACATCACTTAGGATGTGAAATCAAAAGTGAAACATCACTGCACACCATTTCACCGGCTGCAGAATACCGTGTGTACACACCTGGGACAATGCCACAATGGTTTGACCAATAAATGTGACATAAAAGAGATCCGGTTGCACGGAGAATACTTTGATCCATGAACCAATGCATGTGCCCACAACGCCCACGAGCGCTGTTATGCGAAGACCCTGAAAATATAAAAAAGAAATGCAGTATGAATGAAACTTTGAACTACATACATACATACATACATACATACATATGTACATACCTATATACGTATGCATATACATATTTATTTGCACTGAATGAGAATTTTGTTAAAAAAAAAAAACGGAGGAAATTATTAAATTAATTAATAATACAGGCCTGCGATGGTTTCATCCTTAAAAAAATTCCATCACGCAAACTTTCTTTAAAACTTCAAAATATTTTCAAACTTTAACCGTCTTAAACATATTTCCTTATCTTAGGTACGCAGGATGAAACATTTAGTTAGTATGGGAGGTGCCACGCCCCCTTGTCTAATCGAGATAAAGGCTATGCTATATTTTAAGTTGGGATAAATCACACCATTGTACAAAATTTCATAATGATCGCTGGAGTATTTAAAGCGTGAAAGCGTAACAAACAAAACCAACTCACATTCGAATTTATAATATTAGTAAGGACTAGTAAAGAACAGCAAAAATAATATGGTGACCCTTGTTTCGTCAATGACCCTTTTCGCGACTTGCTTAAAATTCCCAACGGCAACACTGGTGGTGATATATTTTTTCCAGAAACGCGGCAGGTAAAGCTGTGTATATCATTAACAAAAAATATATACACAAAACGTGATTTTTACGTTAGAATGCCACGGGGTTTAAGTGAAGCTGATGCTGAAAATGCTGATATTGCTGCCAGGGTGAATCCCCATTGAAATTCGGTTTGTAATTTCTTAAAAAACCCGGTTAGTTATGGCCTTCCGCCTTTTTTTTAGTTTAAACATATCAAGAAGAAGAGTCCTTTAAGTTTGGCCGAAAATGTCGCGGCTAATTACGATTTGCGTTTGCTGAAAATCTGAAATTTTGAACGGATGCTTATCAAAAAGTTATTTTTTTCTGACGGAAAAAAAATCTGTGCACGGTCTAATGGCTGGCAGGCTAAGCTCAAAGAAAGTGGGGAATATTATGTGACGGGCACGTTTTATAACAGCTGAACACAGCCATACACATCCTCTCCTTCTGTATATTGATGTGCCATGTTCTTTGAGGTTAGGAAAAAATTCTGACGTGATGTAGCAAAACGGACTTCAGATTCGTGTTCAGGGCACCAAAATGCATGGGGTAGGGTATTCATGTCAAAAGTAAATGGAACTTTTTTTTTTTGTGGTCCAGTATAGTTGTCTTTATTATTATCTAAATGTGCGATATGTGCATTTATACATATGTATGTATGTATGTACATTCATACAGACGTGATTGTTTCGACAATATATCGACTGCTGAGTGGAAGATAGACCTATCTGGGCAGCCAGTTCGAAAACGCCCTATCTCAAAAAACTTTTCAAGAACGCCCTTGATGCCGAGATAGGTCGATCTTCCACTCAGCAGTCGATATACGGAAAATTAATGTATCTATACTTAGTTATCGAATTTTTGGAATTTTATTTCCCTGCTTAAATTTGTAGAATGAACTCTCACCATCTTATCAAGAAACCAACTGCCAGGGAAAATTAGTGGTATATAGACAATCATATATACCATTGACGTCCAATCCACCCACTTGTCATTAATACCGTAATATCTGAAATTAACAGAAAATATGCAAACAATTTTTAAAATAGTAATTAAATAAAAATTCGATAATTCGAACATAAGATTGTCGACACAATTTGTAATATCATTAGTAAAGTTTGGCTATTAAATAACGAGAATTGTACTGCCATAGAAGAAGTACGCATGCGTCAAGCCCCAGTGACGGACAGCTGTTTAGCTTGAATCATTCTCTTTAAGACCCATCTACATAGAACTTTCGCATTATTTACGTTCGCTTTCGCTAAGATGAATTAATATTTCACATCACTAATTGCATTAAAAGCAATATTTCTGAGTCGCATTTGATTAAAAAGGAAAAACATTTCACGTAATTTTCATGATTTGCAATAGCTGATGAACGACGCACGCGAAAAGTTGAGAGTTGGTCATCTTTCTGCTTTGTGTCGGCGTTAGCGTTGCCAAATTTTGGCTATGTGAACGGCCGCATTTGAATTCATGTCAGCTGTTGAAGCAACGCCAACGCCAACGCAACGCAAAAGTTGTATGTGACGGGCCTTTAGTATGCAGAGCTTCTTAAGCTGAAGGTATATATCGATGGCTGAGTGGAAGATCGACCTATCTCGGCAGCCAGT